CCCAAGAAAGTTTCAGAGAAAGGTAAAGTATTTATATTGGTTTTGAGTTGAGCTTGACCCTCCATGTCTTCATGAAGACAAACATGTTGTTTTCTTAACAACAAAGATTTACTCCTGCCTTCTTTCAGGATATTCCCTTTTTTTTCAAGAATTTCCCACTCTAGTCTACAACTCAGATTTTCCTAGTGATTTCCCAACCAAGATTAACCAGCCCTGACTTCTGAAGATAAGCTAAGGGTACCTGGTGATAGCTACCTAGCTGGGCTCTGAAAGGAGTAAAGGTTGAGTAGACAGTTTACTGCTTAACAATAATACTCCACCAGCATCAGGTAATGTCCATCTGGGAGTTGCTGCATTAACTGCAAGCGGATTTCCAGGCTCAATTCTGCCAGCGCAGAATCTGCCTTCTGGTCCAAACACTTGGAGAGGACTTTTTTAGGCTCTCCCCTTCTCAAGAGATCCATGGAGCAGGGCCAGGAAAACAGGCCTTCTCAGTGGCGGCCCCTCCTTCTCTGCTTATTTTCCGTGAAGAAGTTAAATCTATTTTGTTCAAAGGTGTTTCTGGCCTTCAGGTGATTACAGGGTTGTAAGGGCTGTTTGTATCTTCTTTTGATGTGTGTCCCCCCCAGCCAAGGTCCCTCAGAACTGAGGCAGGATATAAAGGATGTAACTATTGCCCAATAAATTTTTAAAAAAACGTATTTTGGAAGTGCTATCAGCTAGATCAGTCCAAGGTACCTGAAACTAGAAAAAAGGGTCATGGAACCAATATTCCTTCCCTAAACTTTGAAAATACAAGCATTCAACTCTCCGGAGGACAGAAGCTTCCTTCATAGCCCCTCCACATGTGTAGTGCATAGCCAGGAATACCCAGGGCAGCTAAGGATCATGGATCCTGAAGTCCAAATACCTGAGCTGTGTCAGGTTGGAATGTGGATCTAAGATGCGCATTTTTCATTATTCAGAAATAATATTATAGTTATTCTTGGCTGAAAAATAGAACGTCAGCATAAAGCAAATAAGTCAATCGCTGAAAAGAAATGACATTAAAAGAAGAAAAAGAAATAACATGTGCTTTTTCATTCTTACGTCCCAGGGACTGGAGCTTGATTCCGCCGAGGCGCAGCATTCCTCTGTGTATTATAATAATTTTCATAGACTACCGCAGCTGCAAAAAGCAAAGGGGACTGTCAAAAAGGACTTCTTTCTCAACTAACACAGGCCAAAACTGGGTGCGATAGGTCACCCTCTGGTGCTGGGATTACAATTCCCAGACTTTTGAGCCAGTAGAGAGAAGTATTCTGGATTTGTA